AGATACAACACACCATTGTGGTAACACAGTCATAATGGATTTCTTTAAAATATTGCAGCAGAGTAATGTTACTTATAAAATTATTCTCAGTTCACAAATATTGAGCCTATTTAGATAAATTCAAATACATTTTTACTGTCTCCATGACAATCAGGGGAAAAAAAGGGAGACAATCATTTGAATTTTACTTTCTTTCTGTTGTTATCAATAAAACTACAATTTAAAAAAAAGTTATGAAGTTTTAAAATGAGTTAAAAAATTAGAGTTAACAGCAAGTTACATCTTGAGAAAAATGAAATCATCAAGAGAAAGTGTGTTTTTTTAGGACGAAAGCTTCAGATGACTTGATATATAACGCAGTGTGAATAAGGTCTATCGGACTATCTAAAATTGTATATTCTTGATCTTAAAGTAATTCTCACATCATGCCTGACTTATTCAATGTAAACAAGTGGAAGTTAACACTAGTTTAAGGTGTCCATGTTGCAAGGTAAATGTATTCTTGAGTAGTAGTGTAGGAATATGCATCAACTTGAGCAAAACAGAATAACGGAAATAATAATGTGAAACAAGTTGAAAAAGTGACCAAGTTTAAAGCAACATAAATCAAAACAAGAAACAGACACTTTTCTGGGGGGCATAAGAATACTTAAAATCACAGACATGCCACAGCCTAATATCTTCTGTATGTTTGTAACACAGTGTATGTGGATCTAATATGTGTGTTTTCAAGTCAATATAAATAGATCTAGTAGGTATGTTTACAACTCAAAATAAATAAACCTAATATGTACATTTACAATTCAATGTAAATGGATCTAATATGTATGTTTACAACTCAGTATAAATGGATCCAGGGACATCTGTGAGTGGAGGGAGAGTAAAAATCCCCCCCCCCTTACCGGCTATTGAACAGCTTTTGAATTTCTCAAATTAACAACATAAATATTTGAAAGGAAAAAATACAAATACTCAATGTTTTAGCATAGTGACAAAACTACAAAGGAGAAAAAAAATTGTTCCCCAGGCATTTGTTGTTATTCTGGGTAACGTTGGGGATTGATATCAATTCCAAGAGTTCATAAATAATAAATTTTTTAACACACACCCACCAATCCACTCACCAGAAAGTTGAATTTAAAGAATTAAAACTCAGAAAAAATTATAATATGCATACTAAAATTCAATATTTTATCAATCAATGGATTTGATAATTGATTTGCTGAAAAATGTGAAGAATTATTGAGCTATTATAAATTGTAATCGTTTGTTATCAGCGTTATTATTGAATAGTCAACAATGTACGAACAACCGTTTAATCTTAAATGTTTTTATTACTAATAAATTATCCTAGGTTAACAAAGAACTCTTGAATTTAAATACCAATGGCATTGTCACTGTATTTGGTATAAATGATCAAAGATCCTAATTAACTTAAAGCAATATACCATTTATTTGTTCCTTATCCATATAGAAACCAGTTAGAGATACCATTAGTTAAACTTAGAAATATGTTCAACTAAATATGATTGAAGGATTTCATTATGTATTTTCTTTGTCTAAACAAAAATCAAAATTATTTTTAAAAATGACAATATAAAATTTCAAGGACAATATTTCAAGAAAACCTTTACATTGGGGTGGGCAACCTGTGGACCATGTACATCCCAGTGACATGCTTAATCCAGCCCTCAAGACTTTCTGGGAACTTGATTAATGTTATTGTTAACTGTACTATTTGTGAATGATTACCTGTAAAAGCCTTTGAAAATTAATCTCCATGCATGAAATTGTTCAACTGTAATAGTAATAATAAATGAAAATTACAAAATTATCCCACTGCTTATTTTTTAACCAAACAAATAGTGAATTTTTAAAGCCCATCTTCAAGGATTTCTTGCAGCCCTTTACACAAAAAAATGGTTGCCCACCCCTGATTTCAACAATATATTAATTTATTTTTTTTTAACACAAAAAAGTACCAGTTGATAATTGCAGTTAACTGTGTTAATGCTAAATGAGATTCCTTTAAATTGTGTGAACTTAAATGCCATCAAAGCTTTACATTTTAATGTCAAATGTCTTAGTACCATCAAATACTTTATACTATACATTATTTACATATATAAAATTATATAACATGACTAGAAAAAGGTTGTTCAACATAATATCACATATATTTTGTAAACATTCCTTATTTTACACTTGACACTACAGCTATTTACAGGTTTAATAATGCACCTTGAATGAGTTACGTTTCTTTTAGGCCATAAGTAAATGACTAACTCTGGGGCTATTTTGATCATTTTACAATAGTCTTGCCTTGGTAAATATACTTTAAATTATGCATTGGAAAGCACCATTCAAATGGAAGAAACACAAGCTTTAAACCTGAAAATTTCAATCAATATTATGTTTTTATTGTGCCAAATTATATTGATATCAGAAAAAACATTGTAAAATGTTTGCTGCATATGGACTGGTGTAAAACCATATTTATTTTACATGGATTATTTGATTTTAAATACAACAGAATGTAACAAAAATAATAATACTTTTGTGAACTGTAAATATTAAAATATATATACAAAAAAAAATAAAAATTTAAAAAGACTTCCAAAATAAAATAAAATATACCAAGCTTTGAATAAATTAGAACTGTAATAAATCATTTATAGTGGTTATAAAAATAATGAACTAAATATTGTCCATACTAAAAAAACTAAAGGCTTTATGTTAAAGGAAATTTTCCCCATACTCTGAAACTTTTTATTTCATTTTGAAAGCATTCATAAAACAAAAATTTCACTACAACTGACACTTTTGGCCTTTTACTTATGATTAATTTTTATAAATCAAGTCTTGGTTTTTATAAGAATTCAAAACTCTAAAGAAATGGAGGGAAAAAAATCTTTTAGGACTTTTGTTACAATTGCTAATATATGTAGTGGTTAATTGTGTGTTTTAGATGAGTTCAAGAATGATGGCAATAGTGAGTTAACAAAATGTGGGAGATGGAGGCAAAATAAATTTCCAGCATTATCTATGAGGTAGTTGGTTAAAAGAGAGAATCTTTCTATGTTTTTAGAAAAATTAACCGGTTACGTGACAGCTACTAAGTAGCATTTTGAAATTTTGTAACAAAACTTTAACGTTAAGTCTAGAAAATGATAGGATTAAATAATCCTCATCTAAATTTGGGGGTCGAAAAATCCAAAGCAGCTGAACAAAAATTGTTTTTTTTAATATTAAGGCTGCCTGCAAGGTATGTGTATTGAAGGTCTGATATGAAATCACCAATGTAGAGAAAATATCAAAACCATTTATAAATCCTTAAAACAATAATTCATTTAGTTTATTTTTTAAACAACAAACTAAGACTTATGAGCTTTATTGAGCACCATCTTTTATTAAATTATATTTATTTTTTTTTTAAATCACTAGACATAAGACTGGAGATTTTAATCCACCAATTTTTGCTGCTTTTAAGCAATATGAGTAGAAATATTTTTTTTCAAATTTTAATTTTTTTTAAAAATGTTCCGAATGTGGCGTAATATAATCATTCCTATTAATCAATGGATAAAAGTGATGTTTCCGTTGTTTTCCTTTTCCAACAAGAAATTGTTCTTATGTAAAATGATAATGGCATTAATTCAACTGAAAGATTTAAATAGTCACAATCAAATATAGCAGCTAATAAATGTAAAAGGATTTAAAAGGAAAAGAAAACAAAGAACTGGAGATATTTAAATATGAAGAGTTCTTGCTTTAAAAAAAATGAAATAATGATTTAGTTTATTTGATTCCTCTGAGTTATAGTCATGTCTACACTTAAACTTAGTGAACGTAACATTTTTGGACAAGTCCAGAATATATAAAAAAAGAATGTTTACATATATATTCCACCTTTTTATTATGCTTTAAATTAAATATATCTCTTACCTATAACATTCCATGACCATTACTTTATTGAATTTTTTGAAAGTGCACTGGACACTAAAATAGTTGTTGCTGGGGTCATTCATATCTGACATCCTTGAATATGCTGCATATTTTATAAGGAGATACCATTTGTGTAACAAGTACAAATATTTTCCTTATTGTATTCAATAAAAAATCGTATCATGCTACGCTACCAGTAATTAAAGGTGCAAGTCAAAATTTATTGAAAAGGATATTATTAAAATTTCTAAAAGAAAATAATACTATTGTTATAACCCACATGCTTATTCTTAAATAAAATATCGAATAAATGAATACTGTCATAAAAAGTATTGGAACCGTTTTTTATATTAATAAAATGAAATTTAGGCCTGGTGTGAATTCTCAGGAAATGCTGTTTGTGGAAGTAGCTGAAAGGTTGACATGGAAAGTTGTGAATCTGAAGGGAATCGTACTGGTGCATTGTGAAAACCTCCATGAAAGGAATTACGAGACTGTAAGCTGTTCATATTAGAAGGCATGTAATTCTTATTGTAAGGAAATGAATATCCACCTATTTCTTGTTTATAGTCATGTAGGGAGGACATTTGCACATTAGTGGGCAACTGAACTTCAGAGCGTAACATTGCTGTCATACGATCACTCCGGGCTATATGGATGTCAGACAAACCATAAGAATCCTCTTGCATATTTGAATGATGCAAATGTCCACTATTGTTGGATGGCATATGATTTGGTGATGTAATCAATGATAAACCATAAGGATTTCTAGAGACTCCATATGGGTGAATACCGCCATTGCTAGAAGACAGTGATGGGTACTTTTTTAACATTCCTTGATTGTCATCTGAGTATATTTTTCTACTGTCAACATAATTCTTGTCAGAAAATATAGGGTTGGGACTATCTAGAAATCTTTTTTCAACCATGGAATTATTAGGATACAACTTATCATTGTATGACTCATTAGAAGTATCCATGAAACTCTTATCTTGGATAGAAACATGTGAGCTGTTCATATAATTTTTTTCAGTAAACGAATTGACTAGACTATTTGAAAAATGTTTATCCACAAATGCAGAGGTATTATTTCTTGAATAATTCTTCTCTTGGTAAACATGATTTGGTGTTTCTATAAAAAGTTTCTCTGCATAGGAATTGTTGGATGCACCCGGATAATTTTTTTCAGGGAAAATGGTACCTTGCAGTTTAGGGTAAGTATCTTCCCTAAATGAGTTATTTAGAACAGGAAGAGAATGATCTGTAGACATTCTTTGTTCATATTTTGGATGCTGAGGTAATTGAGCTTTAGATTGTACATGATCACTCTCTTCATGATCAGTTTCTGTTTCTGATCCACTTTCACTATCCTGATACATTTCATGATCAGTTCTGGGATTGCTGGCCTTCATTCCAGCCAATAACTGGTTATCTTGATTGGTGTACATCATCAAGCCACTACGCTTGTGATCACTGATATGTTCTAGTAACACCTTGCGCAATGTGAAACTTTGGCCACAAAGAATGCAAGTATGAGGACGTTCTCCGGTGTGCTCCCGTCGATGAACTGTAAGATGGTGCTTTTGTCCAAATGTTTTACCGCAGTCAGAGCAGGCAAAATCTCCCCCTTCTACTTCAATCACATCTTCATCAGGAATATTATCCCCACCCCGTGAGTCAAGTCCTTCACGTTCATGTCTCATCATATGATTATTCAAGAACAATTGTCCCTTAAACATCTTTCCACATAGCCCACAAAATAAAGGACCCTTCGAAGTAGGAAGTGTTGGATTTGTACTCAACTCTCCTCCCATGTGACTAGCATAGTGTGCACTGAGTACCTCTTCAGATGGAAACATTTTACCACATACTTTACACAGTAAAGGGAGTTGATCTGAGTGACACAACATGTGAGCTTCTAGGTGTGATATTCTACCAAACTCTTTACCACAAACCTGGCAAATTCTACCCGCTCGATCTCTGTGTGCTGCCATATGTCTGTTTTTGTTATTGATGCTTTCAAATATTTTACCACATTCTTCACACTGAAGATTACCTTCTTCTAGGTGACCCATGTGATGTTTAAAAAATTCCATAACCTCAGTGTATGCTTTTCCACATCTTTTACATTCATATTTACCTTCTTTCCTATGTGTCCTCATATGGACTTTCAGCACTGATGCTTGTGAAAAGTCTCTTTCGCATAATCCACATTTATAGGGTCTTTCTCCTGTATGTATTCTTAGATGCACTGACAAAACAGATGCTGACCGAAAATATCTCTCACAAAATTCACACTGCACTTGTTTGTGTACACGTTTGTGCTTCTCCTTCTCATACTGAGTTGGAAAGACTTTATCACAGAGACCACATGGATATTGTACACCTTCAGCACCATGAGTCTTCATATGCTGCTTGAAAGCTATCCACTCTGAATACTGACGTCCACAATCTGAACACTGCAAGTTTTGGTCATGCTTGCTGGTCAGATTGTGGACCATTACATGGGTGTCCAATTTTTTCCTACTTTCAAAAAGCTTGCCACATATGGTACAACAGTGATTCTTTCCAACTTCATGGCTTGCCATATGGTTTCTCAAACGCTGACCAGTATGAAATTGGCGGCCACAAATCTTTTTTAAAAAAAAGAAAAGAAAGAAAGCGTATAAATATAATTTTTAAATATATTTTAATGATAACTTAATCAAATATGATCAGTTTATAAAAGGCATCAGAAAAGAAAGTTATCACTTCAACGGAATAAAAAGATTTTTAAATTGAATAGAACAGCTTCTTCTGACTTACATTACATGCAAATCTCTTTCCTCCTGATTCTGTGTGTTTAGCTTTGAGATGATAAAGGTATGCTCGCCAATTTACACACACCTGTAAATTTGAACAATGAATATGTTTATTCAGAGTATTTTAAATCAATTGTCTCATTTTCCATCTTGGCAACAGCCAACTTTACTGTATTAAAAATTAATGATAAGCCTAAGTAGTTTCAGCATATTTATTATGGGTTGCCTTCAGTGGATGATGACAATAATCTAAAATGTTAGAGCTTTTGCTTTGACAATTATTTTTAAATACCATAAAAGGAAAAAAGTATCCCTATTATTCTACTAACAGAAACATTCAGAATAGTGTATCTATAAATAATTCAAAACGATGAAATGCTACTTTTTATTAAAATAGTAGCATGCCAATAATTGAATTCCTTAAGTTTTCTACAAGTTTTAACAACAGCAAACCATAGTTTAGTACAAGATAATTTTTTTAAAAATGTAACTTACTTTCCCACAGCTTTCACATGTAAATGAGGCTTTTCTATCAGTGTTGTGTACTGGTAAATGATGATCAAGTTTATCTTCAGAGGAAAACATCTTACCACAAGTGTTACAGCAGAAAGGTTTCCCTTTGCTATGTCCTAACATGTGACTATCATAACGGCTGGGTACACGAAAGATCTTTCCACATATTCCACAGGGATAGCTAGGTGGGGGTCTAGAAGATAATGATCTAATACTTGATGTAGAGCCAACAGATGCTTGGGATAATCGTCTAGCACGTTTTGGGGGAGTTGGTGTCACAGTTGGATTGACTACTGTTTGGGGGATTAATTCCTGGGAAGTCAAATGATGTTGGATTCCCCGGTAGATTCCCTGAGTGACATCATTGAATAAATCTTCCATATTTTTTGTTCCATATTTTGAAGTATCACAATTTTCTCCTTTTGGAGCTATATGTTTAATTTGTGTTTTTGATGGCTTTCTCTTTGATCTATTTTTTGACCCAGTTAGATCTTGAGATGTCTGTGTATCTGTAGTGTCACCATCAGCAGAATCTGGGGATCCTTCACCAACTGACACAGCTTCATCCATTGTGTCCATTTTGAGGCCTAACTGATTTAAAATAATAAAGTTACATTTTGTATTTCATGTTTATAACAAAATCATTTTTAACCCATTTAATACGTTTCGCCGCAGTGTGCGTCACCGCGATTTCGGCAGAGTACGTTTAGCCACTCTCTGCGTCACCACTGGTTTGTTTCATTTTATTAGTATTCCAACTTTTCCATTCAACTATTTTATAATATAGCTTATCAATTTTTTATTCAGAAGAGTTCCACTTCCTTTGTGTTGAATTTTAAACCGAATAACCCACGTTTAGTGTATTTTGTGCTCGTTTTTTCCACTTAAAAATTTGTAAACAAAACACAGCTGATTGAAATGGCTGCATCGAATAACAGTGCTAGTTCTAATCGACAAGGATTTCGATCTATGACTGCCGATGAGGCAAGTAAATTGATTTGCTTAGACGATTCAAGTTCAAATGAAGATAAATCTGACAACAGTGATAGTGATAGTGATAGTCTAATGATGCTCAGCACATTGTTGATTATCATGAAAGGGACCGATCTTGTGCATATTGCTCAACTGCAATAAAGCGAGTACGCACACATTTCTATTGTACTGGGTGTGAATCCAAACCCCATCTCCATCCTAAAGGATGCTTCAAGGCCTTTCATTTAAAATAATAACTTCATTTGTGTATATATTTAGTAAATATGTGAAATATGTGTAAATATTTGAGTATAACTATTTTTATTGTTGAATTTTTGAAAAAAAAATTTTAACACGTGTCTTCGGAAAGAAATTCATAACTTTACAATTTCTGGAGCTACTGCAATGAAACTTTCCAGTTGTTTTGGATGTATCACAAGACTCATTTTAAAAAAAATATGAACTTGATTGGATTATTGTTATCTGATTTCTGAGCTGGTGAGTAAAGCAAAACCAAATAAATTTTAAATAATTTTTTACATAAACCTGCAATAATACCCCCAAAAATTTTCTTTGGGTATTTCTTTATCACTTTTTTATACTAGAAACATATTCCTTTTTCAATTACCTACATTTGGATATGCAGCATGATATAATTTTGATAAATAACAAAACAGAGCTTTTCAGTTTAAAATCATCAGGTCAAATAGAATTTTTGTCCCAAAATTTTACTGCGTTCCCTTAAAAAAATGTGACGTATTGAATGGGTTAAGAGCTGACAATAGACATAATTTTAGTTTTATTGAACTTGCACATTTTCTGTCATATTCAAAAGCCACACTAAAAAAATGGTGCAACACATAAAAAGTGTATCTGGTGGTGTTTTTTATATTGTAAATCATTTAACTTTTCCCAACTTTTTTTTCAATATGCAAGTATACTGATTTAGATTTTTAAAAGTAAATGGTTATGTAAACATTCTATATTTATTCCAGCAGCTGTAACTCAACTGGTAAGACTAAAGCTATATTTGCGTAGACAGAAATTTTTAATCCCAAGATGGCCCATGCAAAGTTGGAAAGTTGGATACAATCTTCCCACTTTGCTGATTGAGGTTATTTTTTTTTTACTCATTATTTACCTTCCCCCCATGAATAGCTACCCTACTGACTAAGGAATCCATTTCACCCTGCTTTTTACCAATAGCTGGGGATGTCCCTAGATGAATCTGAAATAAGTACCTCCTGGACAAGTCATCCTTTTATATCTTAAAATCTTGGGTTGATGGTGTAAAATACAATGACTCTGGTATATCCTAAATTAAATTGGTAATTAATTATGGATGAATTTATTACATGTTTGCTCACTTATTTCACTACAAAAGCCACTTTTCAAAATATTAAAACGTTTATTAATCCCATTCAGCTAATTCTAGGTCCAATAATTTGAAATTTTATCACAACACGAAATATATCGATTTGTGGACTGTCATTAATTTTTTAATATGGGGAGGAGATTCCTTGTTTAGTTTTTTGGTGTTTCAGGTTTTCCCCAACTGTGTAGGTTAACGTTATATTTCATGTCAATGATTTGACAGGCCACAAATCTTTATACTGTCTGATCATTTTAAAGAGCAATGTATGGTAAGAAAAGAACTAACAATTAGCCTACAATTACTTGAATATATTTATTGTTTAGCATAAATAACTCATATGACTATGATAAAACAGGCCTAAAACTATTCCAAATAGTTGCCTAGGTCTAAGTTGTGCTGATTAGTGATTAGGTTGGAGTAAATAAACTAAATTATTTAGTAAATACTTAAACTTAAAATAAAATTTTCAGCAGGGTGGACAGGAATAAGCTCTGGGGAGCTTGAAACTTACAGAGTGAAAGAACAGCTCTCCATAAAGATAAATTAAATAACATAAATATAATTATTATTTGGTCACTCTATACAATTAATACAAGCAGTATGATTATCCCAAATGGACTCTCCCAGTGGTTTGACTTTGAGGTGGAATGGGCATGGGGGGTCAGACAGGGAGGTGTTCTATAAGTGTTTAGTTCTATAGTCTATGCCGTTGTCTTAACTTTTTATGGACAATATCAGTCACACGGGATGGAAATCTGAATCCCATGCCCATGTCTACTAAGGCACACTTAAGACTTAAGGCCAAGGAATTGCAATTTGACTATTTGAGTATTTTAATTATACTTTGTAGCCAGATGACCAATTCAATATTCATCCTCAAGACAGGACAATAAGTATAAGTATATTATTACATTGTTAAAAGTAGTATAACTTAGCTAATATAAGTTAACAGCTTCAGTCAAGTCATGTTTAGTCAACTGTTTACTATTACTATTAGTAACTATTACTATTACTACTAAAAACACTGTGTGGATGTGAGTGTACTTTAAATATAATATAAAATATAAATGCTATAATCTAAGATCTATAAACTATATGTGGTGTCCCTTTTTTTTCTAAATAAACTTATCAACTTAATTAATAATTAATACGATTAAAATGATGCACTTTAATTTATTAACATTAATTGCAAGCTTTCACTTTCAGTCTATCACAAATGGGAGACATCATTGTGGTAATTGGAGTTACTGCTGCGGGTTAAGGGTCATGGGATCCCTCTGTTGGCTTTCAACAATATGGGGGAGGGGGGGAGCTAACAATCCAGATTCGGGATTTAGATCTGAAGAATCGATACCGAAGTCGGTGTTTCTTGCAAAATTTACACTTAATGTAGTCCCAATTTTTAACGCCTGTGTAGATAGGCCTATGAATTACTGTTGATTGTTTGACAGAAAGTAAAATGATGTAGACAGGCTTTCTCAATCAAATTCAATAATAATAATCACTCGCTAGGATAAAAATAACTTTTAATTCTTTGTGACGTTAATTGCGAATTCGTTTCCTATTCGATGACAACTATGAACCCAAATATAGAAAGAAGTAGCGAAGCACAAAAAAACGTCAACTCAACTTGACTTAGAAGGAAGGAAGGAAAAGCGGGGTTATGTTTTTTTAATCCACTCATTTATTAAAAGGGAGGATTAATGCAATGCAACTACCATTGTGCAAACTCTTCAATATTAAAGTATACGATATCCTCATTTACTCTTACCTCAAAATAAAAGTGGAGCTATACTTTTCATTATAGATTTCGAATTTTATCCACTGATAATGCTGGAGACTGAGCGTCCATCATATCCGTTTGCAAGTGCGTTGGAGCTAGGGGGCGCTCCCAATGTGTGCAATAGTGTGTCAGTCAATGTGTATCAAGCAGTAAGGTAGCATGCTCTATTTTTAGATAGAAAACAAAGAACACATGTTTTAGTAAAAACGTGGTTTTTAAAATTAACGCTATTTGTTATTTTCCATGTAAATGTAGGCTAATTACCGGCAAATAGTTACTAATACTAATCAGTATATTTTCTTGGTCATCAATCTAACTGACATCTCCCATAAAGTTTGACAGGACAATAGTAATATTAATAGATTTTTTTTAGTTAGTTACTACAAAGAGAAAATCACTTACTTAAAACTAAAAATAATATTTAATTATAGTCTGCTACTTTAAAACTTAATATTGCAACTTTATAGTTAAAACATAGAAGTCAATTCAATAAAGTACTGTAAACTGTCCTTAAAATGTTAAAAGACCGCACAGGCCTACAAAAAGTTATTAAATTTTTTCAAGTCAAAGTCAAAAGGCTGCTATTATTAATTTTACTAGACTACACCTTGAGTCTTTTTTAATTTAGTCATAGTCACTTTTTTCTTAGTCTTAGTGATTTTAGTCTTACGTTTAGTCTTACCATTCTTAGTCTTCTTAGTATCTTGGCAGGCATCTTAATCTTGGACTTGCCCTTGTGAATATAACCAACCTCCTTTATTGTAAATTGTAATATTGCTAAGGGCCACATTTTAATAACACCACTAACAGAAAGACAGGTCCTGTACTGTATAAAATATAAATAATAAAAAATAGCAGTAACACTCGAAAAGAGAGAGCAAGGCACAACTTTTTAATTTAATTAAATTGGTGCCAAAAGAAAGGAATGGATAGCAAAGTTAATTTAAAATTGTTATGTTTCATTTGGCTTTGGAGCATGAATAAGGGCCATCAATAAATGATGCCAAGCTTCTTTTGATTTTGCCTCCATCTTCCCAAAATTGTAAAACTAAAACATATTCCACATTTAGCATTGACACAAATTCATGACCACCCCCTCCCCTTTTTTCCCCCCTTTTAAAGATGCATGACATCATTTATGGATGCCCCCCTAATTAACAAGTACTTCAAAATTAATTTCACCTGAATAAAAATCATGCTTAACTAATAATAATTTGTTTTCCAATCATCAGAAATCAAACTAATGGCTACTAAAAAACTAACTTTTAAAAAAATGTTAATAATAAACATCATCAATTTTATTTCCATTTCAGATAAAGCGGACATACTCTTCTATGAATACTCTACATGTAGTTTGTTCACAATGGACTCCACAGAATTTACCTATGAGGATATTAACGAACCATATTATTTTGAGTCTGATCATGTTGCACTCAAGGATAATGCTGATTATAGAAACATGCTTCATACTATAGCTATATTAGAAGCTCAAAGACAACAGGCAGCACAAGATATTGAAACTCTTTACAGGGCTCAAGATGAGGCTTTGGCAGATCCTTTGGCATTTGTACAAAAGCTGCAAAGTGGCAAAGATTTAGGATTGCCAAAGTTGCAAAAGATTTCCCCTCTCCCAGATATTCAGTGGGATAAATATACAACTAGTGCCAGTTTTTCTTCATTTGGTGTAGCTCGTCACATGACCAGAAATAAAAAAAGTGCTCCAGAGAATGGAGTAGGTAAAACATTTTTTAACAGAAAATTTGTTTTTTAGTCTCTGTTGCTTCTTGGTATGAATTAACTTTAAAAAAATAATAACATGCTTCTTTATCCTAAAATGTATTTATTTTCAGTCCCAATTCCTAAGATATATAATATTATTTGTGAAAGAAGAAAAGTAAAATTAATTACTAATTGTTGTGTTTTTTATGTTACAAATATGTTTGGTAACAAGGTATCTCTGCAGCTTCAAAGCATTTTTTGATGACCTTATTGAAATATGGCTCATACATTGATCAAATGCCCACCAGGCCCAGGGCGAACACCTTAAAGTGGGCCCACTTCCACACTTAAAGATATCATTAATATAATGCTATACAGAACCCCCAATGGTGCCACCCAGGGTGTTCGCCCCCCTCCACATACCCTCTAGGTTAGCCTCTGGACTCATACAAATTAAAACTTGTAAAGGTGCTTGGTGAACAATAGAAACTGGATGTCTGATTGTCCAAGATGAAAATAATGGAAAAGTCAATAATTCATTCTCCTTTATTTGTGTGTAAACATTTAATAGAACTGCCTTAAGTTATAGATTTTGTATGTATTATTAAAATTAATGTATAATTTTTAAACATTTTATTCCCTTTTTTTTTTTCTTCTGAGTGGAGTGGATTATATGGTCTTTCTTTTCTAGAGGAGTCAGTGTGTCTAAGGCCATAAACTTCCCATATCTCCCAGCCCTTTATAATTTTGTGTGTAGGGTGCATAGGGGGACAGGACAGATGGCATGTTTAAAAAAAACTATTCCTACATGTGAAGCTTTAATGTCAAGTGCTGCCTTAATTTACATATTCGGGTGTTCTTTTGATACAGTCAAAAAGTTTTCTCATTTATATCTCCTTTTTGAAAAATTGCTGAAGTTGGTTCTGGTTCATTTTGATTGTGCCGCTTTAATTTTTCTTAGGTGAATGCAGGGTTAGACAAAACTAAAAATAATTCAGGAACCAACCCTGTTTTGTCAGCAGTCAGTACAATATTTTGAAAATATTTTGTATACCGGTACTTAATTTGAATGTTCTAGCACTGGGTAGAAAATTTCATGCTCCATGTTGACTCTGAACCCTGTATTTGTCTACCTCTGGATGGGAGCATTTGCTGTTTGCTTAACTGGGTGTCATTTTATCATTTTTTAAACAATCTTTATGGACTCTTTAACCACTTGTAGTATCTAAAATGTGTAAATTTCCTCAGAAAATATATAGAAATAGGTATCAATTACTCTAAGCAAAATTGCAAATAAAGAATTTTTTAGGAGTTGTTTAACTATAAGATCACAAATGATGTAAAATATTTTGATAAGATGCTTTTTAAAGCCATGCGGACGTATGAAATTGATGATTGGTTTCCCATTTACTGATTAAAATTACTGTTTGTTTTTAGCGGAACACATGCAGAGTTTAAAATCAAAGCTTATTCAAGGCCTAAATCCATCAGCCTCATCTTCCACTAACAATGCAGACCCCTCAGGGTCAGATAGTGAAGTTGTGGTTGTGAGGGGTAGACCTCGGGACAATACTAAGCCAGCTACTTTCAATCAGTTGTGGACTGAAGAGGAGCAGCAAAGGTATCTATAATAATACTGTTGAAATCCTTTTTAAGCTTATATTTATTGAGTTTTATTTGTAAAATTTTTGTATTTCATTGTGGAATATGTAATGATGATGTCACATAATATAGTAAAATCTTTCGGTTTTAAAGAAATGTCAAATGTTTAAAGTTGTTTTTTTCAACATTTCCTTATATATGCAAAACTATTTCTCACTTAATATATCTACAGACTTGAAAATTTGTTGAGAGAGTACCCACCAGAAGAGGTTGAATCTCGACGTTGGGCTAAAATAGCAAATGCACTTGGGAACAGAACTCCTATTCAAGTATGTCATTTTTAGAAATGATAGTTCTTTAATAATACTTTCAATGTCGCACAGTAATGGAGGTGAACATCAGAACTGCAAAAGCAGCAGCAGCTTTGGCTAAATTGAATAAGTGGGTGTGGAATAATTATAAACTAACTGAAACATGAAAGCTTAGTATCCTTCAGGGATGTGTGCCACATATGCCAGTAATGAGTAGAAACTCAACAGCTTCTACCAAAGATGTCTGCGTCACATTTTTTAAAATACGTTGGCAGGACAAGTGACTAATCCAGAGGTTTTCAAACTTGCAAAAATGTGTAGCATGTTCTCCGCTCCTCGCAAGAGGCGTCATCACTGGTTAGGATATGTAATGAAAATGGAGGAAGGATGTATTCCAAAAGATCTGCTGTATGGAGATTTAACAGAAGGGGGCAACACTTACTGAATGGCCATGGCTGCAATTTAAGGACATTTGCAAAAGGAACATGAGGGAAGCTGGCATAGAAATCATTGAATGGGAGTTCATTGCTGAGCACCGTACCAGCTGGCAAACAGCTGTGTATCAGCTGTGTATGAAAGAGTCAAACAGGCAGAAGATGCACAAAACAAAGCCCTTGTAACAAATACAGCATTACAAAAGGCCAAATTTAACCAGGAGCCAAGGTTCTCCTGCTATAAGTGCGACTGAAGACGCCATTCCAGGATCTGCCTTGTAAGCAACTTGATAAGTGTTAATAGCTACTCCATCGTCTCGTGAAGACGGAAGGATGCCATATACTATAGTATTATTCTTAAAGATTTATCATGATTATACTACACCAAGAGTATACAACTTTTTGCAATAACTGCTGTAAGAAATGAAGGATTCTGCTATTAGCTTTAACATTGTATGATGTATTAAAATGTATTTCCTTGCTCTTAAAAATCAGTTTTCTTTACCTTATGTATTGTAGCACTACTAATAGCAACATATACCATTTAAAAGGATATTCTTTTGTTATTATTTTTTTCTCCCTCAATAATAAACATCAAGATTATTCAAGGTATTCTCTTTACCTTCTTCTTTTTCTAACATTCTTTGAGTTTTCAACTAAAGAGACTTTTTTATATGCATGTCTTCATTATCTTTTCTGAATGTTGCACAATAACATTTCATAATTTATTTGATTGAAACTTTTAATCATACATTTAATAAAATTTAAGAATTAATCATTTTATTACAGGTTGCTAGCAGAGTACAAAAATATTTTGTGAGGTTAGCTAAGGAAGGGTTACCTGTTCCTGGCAGAATGCCAAATCTCACAGCATACAGTAAAAAGGTAAATTTAAAGCTTAGATCAGTAACAAGATACATACAATTTGAATGTTTGTTTTATTTCTTTTATCCTAATGGTGCTATTTATTTAATTGATTTATCCATCTTTAAAGATCAACCTTTTCTGCAATGCTTTCTGAATAACCCTGATTTTACTTTTATATATTCTCTAAAAGAGCTCACATAGACATCATCGCTATAACCGTATGTATTACTCAAACTCAACTCTCATGCAAGCTCATATACCACCTGTATGGATGAAAGAAGATGGAGAAGACCCTGGTCCTTCAATTCAAGGTTTTTCAGGATTATGGACCAACTCAGGTGAAAATACAATCACGTCAGGAAATAACAGCCAAAAAGATGATTCTTCCGTGAGTATTTGCACAATTGCTTCTTTTTTTTTTTTATAAAGACAAAATTATTTTGAAAGTTAATTTTGGATGTGTGAACTGTTCTTGTTAAAGTCGAAGCGCTAAAAATCATTTGCAGTCGCAGGTCTAAGTAAAAAAAAAAAAACTTTAATACCTGTACCACAGAAGTTTGAAGACAGTCAACATAGAATGGGACTAAAATTGTTTTACATGCAGAAATATTCTCAGTCTTACCAGTTAAGCTACACAGTTGGGGAATCCCAAGTTCGGAAAGTTAAAAAAAGTTGTTTAGATACGATAAACTTTCAGAACAACAATTGGGTGTTCTCCAAGGAATATTACCTTGAATCTTTTGGGCAACTCACCAAACATTTGTAAGTTGAGTGAAATTGAGGCCAGTTCGTCAAGTTATGTTTAGCTAGCTATGGTTTTAGTTTTTAAAAGCTTTTATTTTCTGTATTTCATGTGATAGGGTAGTTACTACTGTTAATTTAGCATTAAAAAATCATGAAACTACTGCTGTATGGAGAGTTGGCAGAAGAAGCAAGACTTATTGGAAGACTATGGCTGCAATTTCAGGACCTTTGCAAAAGGAGCTTGAGGGAAGCCAACATAGAAATCAATAAATGATATCATTCCTGCTGGCAAATATCGATGTATGAAGGAGAATAAAAGGCAGAAGATGTGCGAAATGAAGCCCTTGCAACATAAAGAGCATTACGTAATGCCAAATTTAACCAGGAGTCAAGATTCTCCTGCAATTAGTGCCATTTCAGGATCGGCTTTGTAAGCCATTTAATGAAGAGTCAACAGCTACTCCATTGTCCTGTGAAGGATGCCATATATATAAATTTATGTGGCTGTTTTTTCTTTGTTTAATTTATGCTATGGTACTATTTATATAGCATCCACAATTTATATATATGTGTGTGTGTGCGGGCATGTGTGTGTTAATTTCCAAACCTGTTCTGGGACATTTTAAAGAGTTTTAGAATGAATGCTTTGCTGGGATGTTTTCATGCTCAGGTTTTACCTGGAGTTTACATAGCTGACCTCACACTGTAAAAATTTTCAACACAGCTCATTTAGAAAATGTCCACCTTATAAAATATATGTAAATTTATTTTAAATTAAATTAAAATCTATGTAAATATACATTTCTGTATCAAGTTTAAGACTTATAAAATAGAAACTGTTGAGCTAAATAATTACATTTTTTTTGCCAATATGTGAAGCACACACACACAAAATTGAAAAAAACTTATTTATCAATTTTCAGAAAAGTTTTCATAACTATTGATGTATAAATGCTTGACTATTTTGAATCCATTGTATTATAAAGTGGGGTTTATTCTTTTTTGTAAACTAAAAATGTTGGCTTTAGTACCGGTAGATATGTTTATTAAACTGACAAAAATGTGTATTGATAAAGTTTGTTATATTTTTGTAAACAGGATGATGATATCTACCCTGAGGAAATTTTAAACAGTGCAGAATATAAAGAGCTACAGAGACTTAAACGGCTGAGGAATGAAAAGTTGGCCCAGAACCATTCAACAGTTACAAGGCACATTGGATATAAAGTGAATATGTTTTTTGTCTAATCGTACTTCACATTTTATAGCCATACAGTATATACAGTAAAAAGACCCTTCTATTAACATGACTTTTTTTCCTCTGGTACGTTGAAACAAGCTTATAAGATGGTTTGCTCAATAACTTTGTCTTGATGATCAATTTTGATTTCACCATGTAAATTGAAATACAGGAATCTGTATGAATTATTTATAATTTCTTATAAGTTGCTATCAAAATCATCATCTGACATTTTCGACAAATTACTATTGATTTTTGTAATTAAAAAAACACTAAAAATTTGACAAAAAATTCCAACTTTAAACAAACTATTTTCATTTAAAAGTTTTGATTTAACCATTTTGGAGGAATGTAAACATTTTAGAATGCACAGTGATTTAAGGGGAAATTATTCATGAATTTTTCTTTTTGCCATTATAGTATCTTACACTTACAGTCGCCTATCAGCTTTCTGTGGATATAAAGATTAAAATGGTTATCATCTAACATTGTGATGTGATATTAAGTGTAGGCAAATAATACTTTACACATCATAGCCTGCAGGAAAATTTTTGTTATCTTCGTTGCTTAAGCTAATGTGATGATTTGATTTAATTCTTTCATTTTGAAATGTGACTTTTATATTTGTATATTAAAAGTAAAAACATTTTATGTTCCCACTTTCAGTGTGATAACTGTGGCTGTGAACCTATAATAGGAACCAGGTGGCATTGCATAGATTGTGAATCAGAGTTTTCCTTTGATTTTTGTGATGATTGCAGTGATGCGTAAGTTATTCATATAGTGGTGCTTCAATAATGTTTGAATATAATTAAGATTGGCTTATCATATTGAATTTTTTTACATTCAAATTCTAACAGACAACTTGTTATAGTATACTATATACTTATTCTATCTGGTCAGAAAGATAAACATAAATGCCATTAAAATTTAATAAAGCTGAATATTACATACCCGAAAATACCTGGAACCAGCAAATTAACCAGGTCCAGGTGTTTTAAAAAAAACATAAGCACTTTTTTTAAAGATCAAAATTTGGTACATTTTTACCTGTGCCACAAATTAAATAGAAAACTCACAAATGATGCAAAACTAAATCTAAGCGAAAGGAAACTGCTAAGTGTGATTATTTATTTTAGCAGGCTGCATATCTTTGGTTAGGATCAAACACTTCCTGTTTTAAAGTTAAAATTTCCTTTCACATTCTGACTGGAAAGCTCAATTAAATTTTTTATATGAATTCTAAGTTTTTCCATAGAAATCAATAATAATTATTTACATTCATTTCTTAGCAAAGGAATAGAAACGTATGGCTCAGATGGTATCACCACGATGATGCTATAAATATTTATTAAAATAATATAATACATGTCTGTGTAAGAAAAATTTTTAACTACCATCCAGCAGCTCCACTCCATGTTTTATTTTTGTTATGTTTACAGGTTAGGGTTATATACTATAAGTGTCATTAAGCCTTCATTGTCATGCATTCATTTTTGATGCTGGTTCCCATGTATGAAATTTTCACTTTTCCCCATTTGGTGGAACATATTTCTCACTCTATTTGGTTGTAATACCCAGACTTGCATCCACCAGGTATGGTCTCAAAAGTACCGAATAAAGAAACTGCACCTGTAGTATTGTAGTGGTGCAATTAAATTAATTTTGATTGATAAATTAATATGCGCATGAACTTGATACCTTCCTAAATCATCATATTTTTTTATTTACCTCAATCTGTTTTGATAACCTAATTCTTTTTTCAACAGGTCTTTCCAACAGGGTAAACATGATTCCAGTCATCGTTTGCAACCATTTAAGCAGGCTGTATTGGATTCAGACTATATGAGTTACTCAAAATCCGATTACAATTATCTTGATCCCAATTACATGCCTGCAAACTGAAATAAAAATGTATATTTTAATGAAATATCGGTAAATGACTTTTTTTTCCCTTCCCCAATTTGTGTGTATCCATAGTAATGGTATTTTGACATTTAATAACAGATTGTAAATAGCATTATAAGTTGTGTTTTAACCTATCTTTAAAATTGTTATACTTGATATGATAGCACAAACATATCTTTTATTATTAGCTTTGACAATTTGTTCGTAAAAATTATTCTTACCGGTATCTTGTAAGTCCAAAAGAAAATTTCATATTTTGAAAATTTTTATTCTATTATTGAAAATTACTATATATTCCTCTATCTATAGTATCAAATAAACTAATATTTATGGGGGATCTTATGCAAGCACCGGTACAAAGTACTGAGCATAATTTTAAAATCCATTTGGTGGATTGACTTAACATGAAATTTTTTATTCCCAATAAAATATGAAATAAGTGAATAAAAAAATAAACATGCAGTAAACATGCAACTTCCCCACAAAAAAAAAATGAACCATGGCCGAGTATATGTTTATTTCAAACATTCGCTAGTAAGAGAAATGAAAGTAATTTTTTCTGTTTATATGAACATATTAATATCGAATTGATTATAAGTAAAATCTGTATACACCACACACCAAAATTGTTTAAAATATATATTCATTTTCATGCAAATAGTTATGACTAGTTTTCTTTTTGAAAGTACATGGTGAATTACTATTTCAAGTACCCGGTAGAGAGAACTATTATTAATTTACACTTGCTTATTTAAAGTTAAAAACAACAATATCAAAATATTGATGGTATCTTCAGTGGATGTCCGTAACATTTACAATTCCAAAAATATAACTAAAATAAGTTGTTTTTTTGTCTCTTCCTGAAACAACTATAGTGATCAGAACTTTTTGATATTTTTAAGAAAATAGTACCGGTACCGTAAAAGTTATGTGGAAGCTTGAAAGAAACAGAATGAACAAAGGAGAACGTTTCATCCTTAGCAGACAGAAATAAACAAGAAACAGAAAGTAGTTCAAAAACTTAAGTGTTTGTCATTAATCATTAAAGTATTGCCAGAAGTTGGGTTTTCCACAACCAAGATTTCAGGAAGTAAAATAATTATGTGTCATTATTTTGAAAAAGATTTAAATGGACAAAATTATTTTGGAAATGTGTAAAATATTAGAAATAAAAGAAATACAGGGAAATTGAGGATCGCTAAAAGGAGAGTATCTGACTGATTGCATATGGTGATATTGTGCCAAATAGCTGAATTTGTTTTCCATTTTAACTCTCGCTGGTGTAAGCAATTATTTCTCATCTTTGTTTTTTTTCATTTAAATTTAAAAAATGAATAAATTATATTTATGGAGAAAAAAGAAAATTGGAATTGGAAATATCATTTAGTGTTACATATAAAATTGAGATTTCTAGATGGAGAATAAACAATAAAGCTTTTATCTTTTTACAATAAACTGATATTTAGCTTAAAAACCGCTTATTCTTTGACATACCGGTACGGTAAATACATAAGACAAGTGATATATGAATGCCATAACTGAAAAGTTTTCACAAAAAAAGATTATATTGTGCCAAATTCAGTTCAAAAACAAGTACAACAAAGTACAAATACAAACACAATGCTGTAATATTATTAATGGTTTATTAACATTTTTAAAAAATTCATAATGAAATTCAGAATTATTTTTTAAAGATCTGAATAATTCTAATACTACACTAAATTAAATCTTTACATAAATTTTGAAATGGGCTCTATTCATTTAGTCATTGCTTCATTTTAAATTGGAGCTCTACAAAAGCTTAGGCTGAAGAACTATGGCGAAACCCATTTTTTTTTAGTAGCTCATCCAGCTGGTCTTGTTGATTTTGGAAGAATTCTTTTGCAGGTCCACATGTCATATTCACGCACATGGGGCAACGCAAGGCAAGCTGAGGGGAACAAGCAACACCTGTGTCAATGTGCTGCTTAACAATATCTGCCATGGCTTGTATGAACACTTTATTAGCATTTAGACTTTCTGCTCTGCGGATGTTCTTGACACCGACTTGTGAAGCTAGGTCGTGCGCATATTCCTGGTCTAGTTCAAATAGAGTCTCAATGTGGTCTGAGGTAAAGGCAATTGGCACAAGTAGGATGTTTTTTCTTCCTCTGTTAACTAGACCTGTAATGGCTTCATCTGTCTGTGGGCTGAGCCAGGCCAGGGGACCTACTTTAGACTGCCACACAAGCCGATAAGCATGACTATGACCAAGTCCCTCCATAACTCTTTGGACAGTTGCAGCCACCTCAGCTGGATAAGGGTCCCCTCGATTCACGACTTTCATTGGAAGAGAGTGGGCAGAAAAAAGAATAACAACATCATTTTGATCTTCTAAAGGGAACTTCTTAATTTCTTCCTTTATGTTGTTTACAAAGGCTTGAATCAAACCAGGATGAGTTGGCCAGCGATCAATAACACTCCAAACCATATTTCCTGGATTACCCTTCTTATTATAGTATCTGTATATTGCATTAAGACTGCTTCCTGTAGTAGAACAACTGTATTGTGGATACTGGGTAAAGGCTATGGCATGCTGCACTCCTTCTTCAGCCATTTGTTCAATTGTGTCTTCTGTTAAGGGATCAGCATAACGAAAACCTATGTAAAACTTATGGGGAGCAGATGATGGACTAATTTTGTCTAGGAGTTCAACCATGCCTTGTCCCTGCAATTGAGTCCATTTTTTAATTGGGGAACCTCCTCCTATTTTTGCATACTGAGCTTGAATGCGTGGAGTCCTCCTCTTTGCAATAATTGGGGCTAGTTGTGCCTGGGCTGGTAAAGGAATAAGGTCTTTATCTAAGAAGAGACGCAGCAAAAAATCATGAACCTCTCCTTGATTTTCTGGACCTCCCAAATTCATCATCATGATGCCCGTCTTGGGAGGCCCTGAAGTGCCAGTTTTGTGTCGCCTACTAATTTCATTGGCACCATTTGACACAGGCATCCATTTCCATTTAGAATATATCTGTTGCAATGGTGAAAATGAACCTGAAAGAATAGAAAAATGAGAATTTAACCAGAACACAGTGTTGAAATGAGGTGCTATGTGCAGTGCTTATTTATTAAAACAGATTAATACTGGTACCGTAATAAAAAGCAGTGAATTAATCATGACTAATGTTTAATTTTGTATTTGGTACTGTATGCACACAAAAAAAAAAATTCTACCCGTAATGATGTAATTAGTTTCTATGCTAAAATATCCGGTACTTCACAATGGTGAGGTAATCAAAATTTCCATGAAAAAGAACAATCAAACAGCAAAATAGTTTGAGACATCTAAGGCCCGAGCCAATTGTTCAACCGGCAATGTATAACTTCCTCACCACCTACTTCCTCTGATATATACTAGAAATTACAGTTACAGTCAGCAATCTTCTCATTACCGGCACTATTTAATATTAATACTATAACTACCGGTACCGGTATAATATAAGACATTCCCCACTAATTACTAATAAGCTGTTTTGGATAAAAAGAATAAAGCCATTTCTTAGAAAGTAGATTAAGGTGAGAAATATTCAATTAAATATGAAAGTATTCATTCCCCGAATGTATAGCCTTCCGAATACACTACCGGTATACACAATGATGTGGCTTTTTACACCTTGTGTGATACTCAGTGCTGGCCTGACATTTGGGTGAACTTAAATTATGACACCCCCCCCCCCCCCCCCCCCCCCCCCC